GTTGAATCTATTACAAATAAGCCGTTTTATTTTATTTGGAGCTTTTTTTCCCTCTAAACCATTGAGTTATATAATAGGCAAATGTTACTATTCATTGAACAGTCGCACTCCAGTGTTTTACGTGTGAATCCTTTTTTTAAATTATGGATCTCGTAGCCTCTACCAATGGCAGAAATCAACGAACGCGCTTCTACATCTTCTCCTCCGGAGCCATCAACCCCAGCTCCAGGACCTGAAATCAAGCAGCTTGCAGATGTGATGTATGACAGAGTTGGGGCGTTCTTACAGTCGCAGATTCAAGGTGAGTGATCGGTAAGGGAATGTTGTTGAAATAGAGTTGTTGTCAAGAAAACGAGAGAGGTGGACGAACTTTTGATACATTCAAATCATTATTTAGGCAGTGTCGATGAATACAAACTTCTGGAGGATATGAACAGAACAACCGCACAACGTTACGTTGACATGAGAGTTGTGGCTGAGAAAATTGCTGAAAAGCTTTCCCGACTAACCAATAAATGTGAGTTCATACGGTTGTTATTAACTTCATGTAAGTAGTAATACCTGCAGACGAATCTTTGCGTCCTTATCTCCAACAGATTGATGAAATGGATGAAAGTACGAGAAAATTAGAGGAGGCGGCAAATGTTCTTGATCAGTACGTCACGGGATTAGGTATGCAACATTTAAGAAATTTTTTTCTATCAATATACAGAGGGTTCCAAACATGCCTACTGGTTGATCGTTAAATCTTCATTTTCACTCTTTTTGTGTTCTAATGATTCTTGGAAAGGCTAGCTTGTACTTAGGGGCGTGATTGGATCTTGTGCCTTTGGTGATTGCGGTAAGATTATGGTGTAATTTTGTAGGTTGCGCTGCCATTAAATAGTTACCTATTTTTGTATAATACGGTACCCATGCGTACCGAATTTGATGTTAGCTTACTAATGGTAGGTCAATCTTAATAGCAATCGTTTCACCTATGTTCCAAAATCCTATCTTCATCTAAAGAGGTACATCCGTTCTTGGATAGAAATCTAACTTCAAGCTAGCCCTTCACATGAAATCAGTAAGAACTATGTAATATATTGAATTCAATTATCATCGATCAGTCATTAGGTGCAATTTCTTGGAACTTTTCTAAATTTAATTCTGTATTTGACCATAACATACATATGTTCCGTTCCCAACCTTTTTTTCGCTGTTGATTAGTCTCCAACTGCGTGGGATCATGTCAGGGTGGGACGGGTAGCGTAGGCGCTTTATTCAGTATTATTGTGTGATGACGTCGACTCACAATTGTTTTGCGCTGAAGGTCAATTTCTTTTAAAATTCGAGCCATTTCCAAAAGATCATGTAAACTGTGGTTTAGTAAGGGCTCCTTGAAGCGGAGCGATGTTTAATTGAATAAGCAACAGCCAAGCTTAGAGTACCTTGAAGAAAAGTAAATGCATCAAGGATTGTGCAGAGTCTGGTTCGCGTGCTTCATGTGCTAGCTCAGCTGAATGTGTTAGCCACTTAAGCTTAGGCTCTAGAAAAATTGCGTTGTTGTCTGCGTAGAAAAAAAGGAAACAAGGACAAAAAAGTTCTCATCAAAACTCGTTTTTGTTTCCCATTTCCTTCTTTATTTC